AGATTTTATAAATTTTTACGTGTTAGTTCAATTCTTGTAAAATTTAAACCTATTTTTTTATCTAATTTTATAACTTTATTAATAATTGATTGTCGTAGTAGTCGAAAGTATGATGTGACTTTTCAATCATTATTCTATGTCTTTTTTGTTTTATTTTTTTCTCACTTGTTATCTTTTCCTTTTGTCGTTTGACCTCACTATTAGAAGTGTTAAAGTAAGTCAACACTCACATGGGTTGACTTACCATGAGTTGCATTAAAATAAGTTAATTCAACCCAATTCACTTTTTAGTAAGTAAAAAACTTTACCACCCAGTTTAACCAACCACATGTTAACATGTGAAGTGCGTTGATTTACTTAATATTTGTTTTATTTTCTAATTATTTTTCATTTTTTTAAATTACTAAAATAGGTGGATCAAGTGGATTGACTCTTTAAAATATGTAAATTAAGTAGATTAACTTACTAATTCTTCATTGATTTATACTTACATATGAGAGTAAAAGTTAGAATTTAAAAAAAAAAAAGGTCAACTCACTACTAATTCGACTCGAACTTGTTTAATCCACATGTTAAGTGAGTCAAACTCATTTAGTTAACTCATGAATTATGACCCATATTAACACCTTTACTTACCATCACCTCTCTCCAAACTTAAGGCCCTTTATCTTTCCTTCCTCTCCTACACCAATTTCTTTAACTACTTTCTTGTCCCCTCATAAATTCATTTTATTCTTAGTTCACCCAATTTCTTTTGCCCCAAATGAATCAGAAACCTAAATAAAGTGTGTGACTTGAGACAAAAGCGAAGATTAAACACAACTTTTTAAGTTTATTTCTCGTTCTCCTTCATATGTATTGTCACACTATAGATGTTTTATTCATTATTGATTGAAATCCCGAAACACATGAAAATAAATGAGAAAAAAAAAAGTTAACTTTGTTCACTTATTTCCTAATCATAAAGGATGTCGTTCCTTGTCATCATTTTTGTAGCAATTTTGTGACTTAAGATGACGAGCTCAATATGCCATAATGGAGACTATTTGCTCCATGACAAAGTAGTCACTCTTAATCACTTTAGTGTTTGATGGGAATAACATAATATTAAAAATATCACAAAATATTAAATATTAATAATATATCATATTATTAAAAATTTGATGATTTATTATATTATTAAAAATTTGGATGAAATAATTATGTATAATAATTTTTTAGTATATTATGTTTTTAAAGTTGCTAATAGAAAAAAATTTCAGAATTCAAAATGTGAAATATTTTTTAATATTAGAATTGACTTTATAAAAAATTAGGAAAAAAATTAATCCAAAAATATAATAATGATAAAAATATTATAAAAAATAGTTCAAAAATGTATTATAATATTTTCAGTTTTAGTTTAATTATATTTTTAATTCTCAAAATAGAAAAATATATTGTAATTATTTTAATTTAATAAAATATAATTTAAATTTTTAATACTAAATTAAGAGATTAAATAATAATAAATTTAATTATTTAAATTTAGTATTTAGAAACTAAAATTATAGTTTCTCTGTTTTAAAAAAATTAAATAAATATTTAAAAATAAAAATAAAAACTAGTATTATCTTAAATTTATTAAAAGTATAATTAAATCTCCATTTTCTTATCCAATTTTAGAAATTTTTAATAAAAATCTAATATATAAAAAAGTTGAAATTTTAAAAAGGTACAACCTTAACTTCCATTAACTGTTCTTTTGAAAAAACTGACACGAAAAAACTGGGCTTTCAACAAAAAAAAGTTAATAATTTTAAAATCATTTCAGTGATGAAGTCTCCAAATGTGATCTATGCATTTATTGAACAAAATTTGAGGTGTGTTGAATACAGATTTAAATATATTTTTAATTTATTTAAATATTTTTTATTTTTAGTATTTATAAAATGGATTATTTTTAAATTTTTAACTTTTCTAGCAGTCTATTTTTAATTTTTGTTATTAATTTTGTTAAAAATGAAAAATATTAATTATTATACTTAAAGTAAAAAATATTTCAACTAAAGATAAATATATTTTTATAAATAATTTAATCAAATAATATCTTTATTATCTAATGTATATTAATTATATTTTGATATAAATTTTTTTCTGGTATATCAATTAAATGAAAACAACCATGATTAAATAGTTAATAATAATAAATTAATAAATTTAAAAATTAGATTAAAAATAAAGTATTATAAAATAAAATTGTAATAATTTGATTGAAATTTGTAATTTTTTTAATTAATTAAGTTAAAGAGGAATTAAAATGTGATAATTTGATGTGTTCAATTTTTTTAATATAAATTTTTAAAATATAATTTAATTTAAATTGAAATTTTCAATTGAAAAATATATTAAAGAATATTTTTCATTAAAATTTTCTTAAACAATATATTGAATAGTTAATATCACTCCAGTATTAATTTATTACAATTTAAATTTTTAATAAATTTGATTTATTTTTAATAATATTTTTATTTTAGTAATTTAAAATTAAAGATAATCTTCATTTTGTTAACATTGATACCAAAGTTTATTTTTAAAGTATATTTTAAAAAATAAATTGTAAAAAATATACTAAAGCAATTAAAGTATATTTATAAAAAAATAAATTTAAATATAATAAAAAAAATGTTCATTAGTGACCGATTTCAATTCGGTCGTTATTTTCTCATTAGCGACCTTCAATTTGGTCACTATTTTAATTTGTAATTTGGTCGCTAAATCAGTCACTAAATTTTTTTTAGTATGGAATAGCTATCGATTTAGTGACCAAAATTTTGTGTTGTAAATTATTGGTCGCTATTTCGGTCGCTAAATAAAAAGTGAAACCAAATCATATTTTGGTGGCAAAATCGGTCGCTAATTTCAGTCGCTAAAAATGTTTTTTCTTATAGTGCTTGTAGCAATTTTGTGACTTACAATGACGACCTCAATATGTCATAATGGAGACTATTTGCTCCATGACAAAGTAGCCACTCTTAATCACCTTAGTGTTTGATGGGAATAACATAATATTAAAAATATCACAAAATATTAAATATTAATAATATATCAATCTGTCTAAATTAAAATAATAACATAATTTTTCATCTTATTCTCTTAAAAGATAATTAAATATCTTAATACCTAATTTAAATAAAAGATAATAAAGTAATATTCTCAATATTCCTCCTTATTTTAATATTTGTTTATTTGAATTTGATATATTTTTTTGTATTCTTGTTTTTTTCCTCATCTTTTGCTTGTAATTCTTGTTATTCTTTTTCTTGTATGTGATCATCACTTCATTCAATTTTGTTGTCGCACTATCATGTTTTTCCTTTGCAATCACGTGCAAACAAACCTTTTTCTTAGTAAGATATTTCTTCTCACAAGGCTTCTTCTTTTTTACATTGACAGTCTTTCATTTAAGACCAAACATATTGTAATTTGTTTTTCTTGATCTTTCATCCATATAATGAAATGTAAAGAAAACATTTTCTTTTCAAAGCACACATTGTTCTTGTCTTCTGTTTTATTGTCTTTCAATAGAGACAAATTCATGGTAGGTTTAAACTCCTTCAACTTCTGCATTTTTTCCATCTCAGTCTTAAGCCTCTCAATTTCACGACCGCATTTTTTAAGCCCTTTATCCTTTTGCTTGAGAGTTTCGTCTTTGACCTTAAAGATCTCTTCGGTCTTCTCCTTCTCAAGGCGCATAACATTTCTTATATCTCTAGAAATTCTTTCTTGAGCAATTGTTGCTTCTCGAAATCTTGTTTCCTAACAATTATGTTAGCCTGATTGATTGTTAGGGTTTTCTCTTTCAAAACTTTTTTATCTCTCTTTGTGGGTACTTCATATTCTTCTTGCAAATAATCTCATATTTCTTTGGGTGACTTTAGGATTATCATTCTGATGAGAATCATTTGTGAAATGCCTGCATATAAACATGACTTCACTTTTGTCTTTCTCATTTTTTTTTCCTTGTAGATTTTGATTTGGGCTATGGTAGAATTTTCAAGCAGCGAATCAATGATGTAATATTCTTCCACAACTTCCCATAAATTCAATCATTCAAGATAGGATTGCATTCTCACCACCCATAAATCATAACTTTTGCCATCGAAAATTGGAATAACAATTTGTAAAAAACTTTGTTCTCCTTCCATTCTTCTCAAAAGAACTAAAACTTTGATATGATTGGAACTTTTAGGGTTTTGTGTATGTGTATTTCTGATATATAAAATATATTTCATATGGGTATACGTATATATAGAGTAAAAATATGATCAAATATTAAATATTAATATTATCTCAATCATAATTGTCTAAATTAAAATAATAAGATAATATCTTCTCATCTTCTTCTTTTAAAAAAATAATAAAATATCTTAATACCTAATTTAAATAAAAGATAATATAATATTCCTGATGGTGGAGACCATTTGCTATATGATAAAGTAGTCACTCTTAAATACTTTAATGTTGTTAACTTGATGGATGACCCACATTTCAATCTTATAGGTTGTAATAACAATGATGAAGTATGTGATGATATAGGGAGCCAAGGAGGAGAGTTGATATAAGGAATTGGGGTTTGAAGTGAAGAGAATCAAGGAAGAGAGGGTAAATGAGGATTTTGAATAGGATCCAAGCATTTATGATTAATCACTATAGTCGATATTAAATTCAATTACTGACGATGGTGTGGTTCATATTTTAATTTTTCAAAATTTTGTAAGAATCATTGAAAAGCTTACTTTTTATTCGGTTAAATTATTCTATCAATTTTTGAAATATCTAAGAATTTTTAATTAGGTTTACAATTTTTTTTAATTGGGTTTTGAATTTGTATTTTTTTTAATTGATTCCTTCTATTAGTACAAGATCTAACTGAAAATAAATATAAATTCAAAGATGAATTTACAAAAATACACTAATGAGAGGGGGATTTGACTTCGGTCAAATATGAGAGAACTAACACCAATTCTTGACCTAGTATTAATGTTACCGATTTAACATCAGATATTAAACCGATGTTAAAACCAGATTGAAAAACCACAGCGGACACCATTGGACTAAAGAATAAAGACACTGAAAACAGGCCCATTACTATGGGCCAGACTTAATTGAAGAGAAAAGAAAAGTATTAAATAGCTTGAGTCCAAATACTATCAAAATTAAAGAGAGGCTTGTTTATATTTTGTTTTCATAATGTTGAGAAACTAATAAATATCACGATAACGTGTGGGTAATTAACCGTTGACTTATGTGATTAATTTTAAAATTAATAGTGTATTGAGTGTTAATTAGTCTAGTGTAAAAGTCCAATTTTAAATTTTTGGTGAAGATAAGAGCAAAGAACAGTTCCAACTTCAAATCTAAACCTTTCCCTCTTTTCTATTATTAAGGTTTAAAATGTTCAGTAGATTTCAACAATATAAAGAATCTATATTTAAATATAAATCATACGAGACTTAAAATCTTTAAGCTTATACTATTTTTTCACTATATCTAATCAAATATAATTATATCTAATAAAAAAATTAATTGATTAAATTTTAGGATAAGTGATGAGTTTTTTTTTTACATAATGGATCATGATTTCTCAAAAAATTTTAATCTATTTATATATTTATAATTTTGATCTTCAAATTTAATAATTATTAAATATATTTATTTAAATATTTATAATTTTAATTGATTAAGAAAATTTTATATTTTCACATATTTTAATATTCTTTTTACTTTTTATATTATTTTATTATTTATTAATGAAATATTATTTAATTTTCAAAATGATCGTCTCGTTGATTTGGATCATTTCAATATGAACTATTAATTATTATATTACTGTTAATGTTTTTTAAAATATAGTTAACATTATTTTATAATTTATTTATGAAAAAAAAAGTTTTAATATTTTATTTTATTTATAATTAAGTATCAAATTAAGAAATAATCATTATGCATATAAAAAAGTTTCATTAATATAGCTATTTGACGTATATTTTCTAGAAAAAACTTATAAAAAGTAACATTTTTATATATTTTTAGTTAAACTAAGAAATCTATGGTTTATAAACTCTTAAACATTACATAATCATTGACATGGATAAAAATAAGTTACGCATACCAGAGTCAACGCGGACTTGTAGGAGAAAAAAATATAAATAAATATTAAAAATAATTTATTTACAAATTAATTTATGAATGTTTTCATTTATTTTATTTTATTTCCTTATGAAATCTCTATTAAATTTCATACTAATATTTTTATTTTAGAAAATTAGCATTCTATAACTATTTTTCTATTTCTCACTCAGTTTATTTCAAACAACTTACTGTTTATATTATTTTAATATTACACTTAAAAATGTTTTAACGGTTACAATAATCAACATAATACAAAACGACTGTTAATTATGTATTTGCTTTAAACTTAATTAGAACAACTTAAAATATAATATAAGATGAATAGTATAATTGATAATATAAAATATATAATTTTAATAAACAGATTAAATTTAATAAATTAACTGAACATTATTTAGCATTTAGTTACTTGTTTTCAATTATTACCTAAATTTTTTTCAATCTAGCAAAAAAAAGAGGAAGTAAAAACTTAAAACACTAGTTCTTATAATAATTATTGAGAATAATTTTAATTATTAAGACGAAGAAGTATGATGAATTTTTTTCTTAAAAGAATATGATAAAATAATTCTTTCTCAGATTTCAAGAAAATATCACACCTCGTACCAATTAATAATATAATAATATTATAATATTTAAATGATTACAACCTTGTCATATTAACCAAAAATTAAACCCTAAACCAACTAAAAATGTTTATTCTCTATTCGAATATCATCTCAAATGTAATTTTAATAATAGGATAAAACTTTCATATTATTAGTTAATTTTAATTAAATTTATTTCTTTGTAGGCTCAATGCGAATCACTTGTGTGCAAGCTTTAATAAAAGAAAATAAAATATAAAATAAATATAAAATCTCACCCAACAATACAAGCAACCTTAGAGATGATACACACGCAACACTGTTTTTCTCATAAAAGTTAAAAGAAGGGTAAAGAAATAAAAATGGCACATTTTTTTATAATCATTTGATTTTGATTTCAAAGAAAACCCTAATTGATTAAATCAAAGAGTGTCATAATAACTCAGCAACTATTTTAGGACTAACGAAAACCCTGGTTTTGGTGGAATTTGAAAATTGGTCACATTAACTGTATCCTATTTGTCCTTCATCAAGGTAAAGAAACTTCTAGGAAAACCCCTTATAAACACCAAAAAACAACTCATAATTTAATTAATTAATTAACTAATTAATTAATTATATGTTTCTTTGTATGTTACTTTACTTTATGTTAATTAATATTATCATTTCCTTTATGTTTATCTATTATATTTACTCTATTCATCGTATTAATTATTAGTCTTTGTGAGATAACCTAATAGACCATCATTACGAAAAATCTATTTTTTATTTATTTACAAAGATGACCAAAATTAAGCTCTAAACACCAAAAACTAACTCCTTATTCATTAATAAATTTTCATATATAATTTTTTTTTCAAATGCTACTCTGTATTTAATATTCTTGTTTTTTTCTCTAATTTTTTCCATTCTTAAGACATTCAAATACTAGATTTGCTTAAAATAAGAAAAAAAGTTGAAGTCTTATTCAAACCAAAGACATGATGTTTTCTTTCTTTGTCAATGACAAACAATAACATCTAGCCATTAACAACATATTTAAGGTAAAACAAGAGACGACATATAATTAATGTAATTATATATGAACGTGTATAACATAAAAAATGTGATGTCGATTTGCTATAAAAGTTGGTGTCGAACGTCGACGCAACAATCCTTGGAGACAATGGGGGAGGCATTTGGTGAAGGAATGGTTTCGAAGGAACCATTTGGTCGCAGTTACCTGTTGCTGAAGCCAGAAGAGGCGAGTGTGGTGGATCTTGGGACCCTCTTGTTCTCTTCAAAGTTAAGCAACAGAAGATTCATAGAGTGCCCAGAAGAGGTTGAAGCAGGAGAGTTTAGAGAAAGATGGCTCCTCTTCACATCTGTTGTGGCACAGATTCTCCTTCTTGCCTCAAGAAACTCCTTGAAAAAGGTTGGAGACATGTTGGAGTCGTGGCTCAATTGTTTATCAATCAATGGAGGCTTCATCGGACTCTTGCTCAACTTTCTGAGAGGTTATATAATGATTCATAATATTCCATGCCATCGTTTCTTTTCTCACCACCACTATATCATATATACTCTCGTTGTTATTATTCCCACTTCATTCAACATTTTTCTGAATGACACTGATAATTGATTTGTGGAGCAGGAAAGATGAAGAGAGCAGAGAGATCATCAGCATCATTCTTATCCGTGGCGGCCAACCTTGACACGCGAGTTGACTTGGACAAAAACATTAAGCACAACCATGCCAGATACAAACCCTTCCTCTCGATCATGGCTTCAAAATTATCCTATGAGAACCATCAATTTGTTGCTAACACAGTGCGAAATCATTGGGATGTAAGTCCTTTATTAATTTATTGTTACTTTACTCATTTTTAACGAGTCAAAATATTTCAATTAGTATAGAAAAATTTCAATAATGGTGAACTTTCTGAAGGGTTTTACCTTTTTTTTTTTTCCTGTTTGTAATATGATTGCAGATGGAGTTCTTGGGATCACACAGCTTCTGGAACGGTACGTAATTAAGAAGCATGTTCATTTTATAAATTTTGCTTAGAAGATACGAAATTTTGCATAGACAAAACATCTTTTACTTTTTTTCTTTCTATATATATATATATATATATATATATATATATATATATATATATATATATATATATATATATATAGTAATCATATACTTAATGACGTTTTGAATTATCTATAAATTATTTAGTTTAGTTTATAGTTTAAATAATTCATTTGTTTTTTAACAAGAGGTTAATACTTTTATATGGTAAGAAGATAAAAATAATTTTTCAATAACTTATTTTTTAGATTTTTATATCATTATTTATCTTTTTTTTTTCTTTCCATCAAAATCTCTTTTTTCTCCTTAAAAATCATAATTTTGTTTATTATATTTTTTTTATATGTGACTTTCAGTTTTAATTGTTTAGATTCATTTATTTTAAGTGGATTGACATATATGGCATAGAAGATTAAGGATATTAGCTAATGTAGAACCACTATTTTTGGAAAAATAAATTAAAAAATTATAACTACGATGAATCTTAAAAATCATATCTTCTAAAATAACAAGTAACACTATACATTAATAGGTGTTTATAGGATTTATTAATATACACTCACTCATCTTTTTAGAATGAATATCTAACCAAATTATAACTATCAACAAACTTAAAATTCACTCATAAACAAGTTAATAAACAAGATTTTGTTTAAATAAATTTAATTAATGAAACAAAGAACACTAAAGCAAAATAACTTAAATTTGACTGGTTCAATTGGACATCAAGTTTGAACAACTTTTTTGTACAAATAAAAGTTAAAATCAGACACCTAACATGGAATTTGAATTTGTTCCATTCAACTTTAACTTCAGAAAGTTTGTTTTTGTTATTGGTACACAGTTAATCAAACTTGGAACGTAATTAAATATTAATATTTTCAAAAGAAAACGCGATGGGAGAAAGTTTGCTGTAAATCACACTTAATTTCGTGGAACTTCGACCATTTACAAGTCACTTTTTGCTTCCTACCTAACTTTGAATCTTAGGGCTAACGTATTTGTAAAAAAAATAAAGAAAAAAAATTAGTTTTTTCACAAATTAAAGTTAAATTAATGAGTTAATTTATAGAAATTTTTTCATATGTTTTTCAAAAATTTAGTTAAATAAGTTTCTCCATTATAATTTATAGAAAAAATTAATAAAATTTTTAATAAATTAAAATTAACTTTGTATAATTAAAATTAAAAATTAATATAAATTCTTATAACAAAATTGTCAATTATATATGAATATTAATATATATAAGACTTATAAAATTATATAAGACTAATAAAGACTACATTACATAAACTAATCTTTAAAAAATGATTTCCTAGATTTTTTGTAAGATTTAGTTAAATCTAAACTACTTTATAAGAAGAAATAACTTTTTGAAAGTTAAGAAAATAATTTTTTTCCCATCAATTTTAGAAAACCAAAAATGATTTTATTATTATTTTATTCTGTTTCTCTATGTTAAAAACTCAATCATATATTCAATTTCTACTAATAAAAAAAAAAAAAAGTGCTTCATGGGTGTTTGAATGCACCACTAGACGTGATTTTATTAAGGATCATAGACAAACAATGTTTATATTTTGCTTCGATGATAATATTAATCCATTTTTGAGAGTCCAAAATCCAAATGATGGGATGCAGATTACCAAGAGCTGTGGTCCACACGAACAATCATAGTGCAAGATACCACGTCCGAACCCAACTTGATTGTTGTTGCATTTAGGGGTACAGAGCCATTTGATGCGGACCAATGGAGAACAGATGTGGATATCTCTTGGTACGAGTTGCCCAATGTGGGTAGGATACATGGTGGGTTCATGAAAGCTTTGGGACTTCAGAAGAACAGTGGATGGCCCAAAGAGATTGATCAAAGCAGCATGGATGGAGGCTCTCAGCATCGTTACGCTTACTACACAATCAGAGAGAAGCTGAGAACAATGTTGGAGGCAAATAGGGATGCAAAATTCATATTGACAGGGCACAGTTTGGGAGGAGCCTTGGCCATTCTGTTTGCTGCTGTTCTCACACTGCATGAGGAGGCATGGCTGTTGGACAAGTTAGAAGGGGTTTATACATTTGGGCAGCCACGAGTTGGGGACAATCAGTTTGGGGAGTTCATGAAGGACAAGTTGAGAAAGTATGATGTGAGGTATATGAGGTATGTTTACTGCAATGATGTGGTGCCTAGGGTCCCTTACGATGACAAAACTCTATTCTTCAAGCACTTTGGTCCCTGCCTCTATTTCAACAGCTTCTACGAAGGACAGGTATGGATTGTGGTGTCTGAAGTCTCTGCTTCGTTCTGCTCTACTAAATTAAAGTTGATATACTCTGACAATGGTTTTTTTATGTATTGCGGATCCAGGTTCTAGAGGAAGAGCCAAACAAGAATTATTTCTCGTTGATCTGGGTCATACCCAAGATCCTAAACGCAGTTTGGGAACTTATTCGAGGTTTTCTTATCCCCTACGTAGAAGGTAGAGACTACACACAGAATTGGTTCATGACGATATTCAGGATCGTTGGACTGATAATTCCAGGAATACCTGCTCATCTTCCTCCAGATTATGTCAATGTTACCAGATTGGGATCCTTACCCGAATTTCTGGAACTTCAAAACTCGCAAGATTCGAAGGTTGACTGATATAAAAGCTTGTGTAGCCATATTCATCGAATAATTACCGGCGTATTCAGATTTAAAATTCAAAATATCCTGAGAAAAACAATTGATGGCATACCCGAATTCCCAAGTCCACTAATTATTTTCATTCTCTTGTAGAAATATTATGCCATGGCATACCAGCAAATTCACTCGGGTATTTTTATCAGTGAGGCTAAATTAGGATGAAGTATAAAACGAGAAACAAACAAATCGGACAAGGAATGAAGAACGAACTGAACCATGCACAACTTCGTGAAGGAAAAACTAAATTACATATTTGAGGTTAATTTATCGTTCCACCATCTGTAGATAGATAAGAGATTACATTTGAACAGCAAACTGTCAAGTAAGGAGAGAGAAAAATTACAAAAAAGGATTATTCTAAAGTTTGGCCTACGTACATACATAGATTATTTATAATTGAATTCAAATTCCCAAGGGGATTTTGATTTAATCGGATACCTTTAGAAGGTGCTGCTATTTCATGCATTTCAAAACCGCAACGACACCAAGTTAGTGTCAACATAGTAAGCTGCTCTCTCTTTTATCCACCTTTCACTCATTAACAAGAGTTACATGTAAATCTTTCTGAAGTCTGAAACCTGGCAAGACAAGTAACAACCTTTTATCAAAATGCATAGGAATGAACAAGGATATAAATTAGTGCAAATTTCCACGGTAGGTGGATAAGGAATAATAAACCTGAAACTATCAAAACTCAAGGGAAGCCGGGACTTAAATATAAAAGAAGAATTCTATATCCTCCTGCTAATCTTCTTACTTTCCTTTAAATGGTAATTATTAAATGCGTTTAACACTTTAAGACATTAAATGCATTTACTTTTTTATTTAATACTTTCTTTACAAGATAGTAGAAGGATTCGGAGGAGGATATAACATTGCTAATAAAAGAAGGAAGACATCTGTTTTAAAATCTGTCAATACTAATGATTCCGGCATAACTTGCAATTAAACCTTTCACTGGTCAGAAAAATTGGGTATATTTTGCAGAACAATTTGTATTAAAAAGTGTTACTTCAAAGATTTCTTAAAAATAATACCAAACTACAAGGTTACAGAAAAAATTACCCAGCTTCATTGAACACAAAAAGAATGCAAGAGAGAAGCTTAAAAGGCATGACATGTGAAACAACCACTTAAAGAGCCCATCTGAGTGGCTCTACTAAATAATATAGCCTTGTGAGGAGTTCTGGCAACTTGATGATCCTGGTTGGCTGAAACTGAACTTCTCATTTCCTGAGCTTTTTTCTGAGCCAATCTCAGCTTGTTCATAATCTTATCCATAGATGATGCTCGCTTCTTCTCCAACTTCATCTGAAATAGCAAAAGGAATAAGATCATGATCTATATCATGATGTCCTTTGTCACTATAACTCTTCTCTCTTTTCTTTTTAAAATTTTAAAAATAAATATTTGGGCCTCAGATAAAAAGAATCCTTAATGCATGCATTTTGTTCAAAGAAAGCACAAAGGATATAATCCACATATAATGCTTGATTAGTTTATAGTGAATAAAAAAAAAAGACATACATGAAGTTTTCTTTAAGACGTCATAATCCTATCGGACAGTTAACAATGAATTACCCTTCACGACAACATAGTCAATAACTTGTTCATCATTTCAAGACAAGGGATATGTCCGCAATCACTGATCAGAAATACTTTACTATCCTAATGGAAGCAAGTGAAAATCATTTGGCTGAAATTCGGCTAACAGAGGTAACCAATAAGAAGGAAATAATTAAATACCACAAATTAAAGGAAATAATTAAATACCACAAATTAAAAGAAATTAGGAAATTTATTCTTTTTAAAATAATATATTTACCATGAAGAAGCAATAACAACTTGATGATTAATATATAAAATATTTACTTCTTATGATAATTAATAAGAAAGAAAACATGAGGAATCAACCTCTAGTTTCCGTATTGCAGCTTCAGCTTTTGCCTTTTGCAAGTTCTCCCATGCATTGATTTTGGCTTCCTCCCTTTTGGCCCTGGACATGTAAAAAATGCTGAAATTTCAGAAACAATGTTAAGTTTACGCAAATATTTCTTATACAGTAAAGTCCGGGGTTTTCTCAGAGATAAAATTGTCAGATCAAATCACATTATATATTTTCTGGTATGAATTGGATGACTATGGTAATCTTTAGAAGGTAATAAAGAGAGGTTATTACAACTCCTGAACACTGATCATTTTAATAAAATAGTTTCAATGCTAATATGGTAGCTAATTTAGCAAATCAATAACCATAAATTTTACAAACTCCAATTCTTATGGTACCATCATGAACAAAAATTAGAGGTAACTCGTAGCATTTAGATAAAAGCATAATGAAAAATAGACGATTGTAAAGGCAAAATCTCACCGCTTGCTTAATAGCAAATTATTTATATGATCATTAGTTTCAGTTTAAAGTTGTCCAAAATAATTTTTCTTTAGTTACCAAATAAATTTAGTGTATTGATACAATACAAAGGTAGACATACTTTGTCACAGTCTTTGACCCTTCAGAAATGTCCCAAGATGAAGATCGACTGCTTGTTTCTTTAATTTTCCAGCTGTCAACATTTTCTGAGCCTCTGCCAGAGAATAGGGCTCTGTGTTTCTTGGACCACCTTGTCATGGTTACACGTTCATCTACCGGTACATCTCTGATATCCATTTTAGAGAAAGGCAAACTCTTGAACTCTGAGAGAGGAAGGGGAGGTGGAGTGGAGGCAGAGAAAGAAGGCCTCAAATTGGGAGAGGAGCATGAACTACCCTCTGGGCTCATCTGGGTTGCCATGTCCCTCCTTGAAATAGCAGGAGACACATTGGTGCCTGCATCTTTGAAACCATCAAACTTCTCCCCTGTAATTAGAACCAACATAGAAAATGACACATCATAAGCACAGAAGTACAGTTTTATAATTACACAAGATCATCATGTCATCATCAAGCCAAAAACTGTCAATTATCAGCACACAATTATTAGTGTGGTCAACATAAACAGGCTGTTCCATTCATATCACCTCACAGAGCAATCAATACAAAACCTCACAGTAATTACTAAGTGTTCTCAGAATACAGAGGACTAACCACAAATCAAGAAATTGAAACTGGTTAGGATCGCCCTTGGAACACATGATCAAATAGTATTGAACACACGCAGATTGTCATATTTCTCAAGCACAATTTTGTTGAGAAATTAAGTCAACAAAATCATAATTCACCAAACCCAAAGCGAGATAAGGTTCAAACAATAAGAAGGAAATAGTTATGGCTGCATTTCCCGATCACATTTTGCCAACAATGTCAAAGAGTTTTGACTAATTGCAACCACAATTATGGCTGCCGCAGTCACAATTGCCTGCATTGTCAAGGATCGTGCAATTTATTCTGTATGATATAATATAATATAATACATATAACAACCTTGGGCAGGCAATGAAGACTGACTCTGCATATGAGAGCAGCCGTGGACACTAACTGAGCGAGCCATGCAAGGATCAGTTCTGGTGGGGGCCGCCCCACAACTGCCACCGGAACTGGCCATTAACCCGTCAGCAGCAGCTGAGACACCAACAGCAGCAGAAAACGGAGAAGCCGCCAAGAAGCTCCCTGAATTCCCACCATCAAACAAAGGCACCGCAGGGGAATACAGGGAATAATAAGCAACAGCAGCAGCTCCAGGGGGTCCAAGTGGACCACTCTTCGACTTGGGCCTTCTCTGCGGCGCTGGAAGTGAGGCCCTTCCAGTGCCGTCGCCGGAGACGGGACTCAGAATCCACCGTTCAGCGTCATCCCATTTGGACGGCAAAGTCCGCCCGTTGTTGAAAGGCAACAGAGCAGCGCCAACCTGCTTGCGAGCAGCATTCGTATGCAAAGGAACTCGCTCCGAACACCAACCCTTTTGCACAGCAGCACCAGCGTGAAGATAATTAGGCGTTCCAGGACTCGGAAAATTGCCAGAGCCAGACCTTCGAGAACAAACCGTGCTCTTCTTCATAGCCCCTAATCCCAAACGAGGCGAAGAAACGTTGCCATTGCCAACGGCATTGTTCAGATCTAACGAAGCAGGCCTTCGCCGATCGTGCTTCTTAAATAACGCCTCAGATCTTGATCTCCGATCCTGACACTCTTTAAGCAGCTCAAAAAAGTTAAACAAATAGAAGTAAAAAACAAAATAGAATAAAATAAACCAGAATGTTTGAATTAGAAAGTTGAAATTCTAGCAGGTTCGGTACCTTTGAGAGCAAGAGAAAAAGAGTTTCTGGCCGAATCAAATTCCAAGAGCTGATTTCCGTCCTCAGTGTCATCACCGTCACTATCTTCTTCCTTTTGGACTTCAATACGGAAAGTATACAACAGAGTCTGTGAGTCACCATTTTTTTTTGTGTGTGTCTTTTTACTTTTAAACAAAACGCTTGATAATTAATGTAATAATAATAATAGTAATAAATACTAATAATAACTATTTAAATAACAAATTAATAATCAATAATAATAGTAGTAATAGTAATAATAACAAAAAATAATTTCGTTACACCTTTCGCTTTCTCTCCTTTTCCTGAGAAACGATTTTGGTGATGTTTTTTGTGTAATGCATCTGAATCTACAACCGCAAGTCGTTGTTGCTGTCGGTTACTCGGATCCGGATCTGGACCGCTCCAGCTTTCGCTATGAGCGAAATCACCGTCGTGCTCCTGCGCGGCCAAATGCTGCAACAGAACCGCGAGAAACTCCATTAAAGATTACTGAATTTCAATTTACAATTACTAAAACAGAGCTAGTGTTGTTGCGTTTACCAGAGAGATTTCGGAAGCTAAGGAGTCATGGTCGTGCGCGTCGGAGGCGAAGGAACACCGATCGACGCTGGCGGAGGCGGAGGAGAAAAGGCTGAGGTTGGATTCGAGAGTGAAGATGACGGAGTCGGGGCTGGTGTCGCCGCCTCTTCGCGAACCGGCGCGCCTCCACGACCGTCGTTCGTGAAACCCTAACTCTCGCATTCTGATTCGAATCGCATTCGCATTTGACAGAGTGAAATAGAGAAGAAGAGAAACACACTCTCACACTCACTCACACACTCGCAGTAAATATGGCGGGTATCACTTACAATTAGTTTTGATTGGTGTTGTTGAGTTGTAAGACGTCATTGTCGTTTGACTCGAAGAGTGTTAATAATTATGCTTTGAATACTTGAGCAACCATTTCTTAAGGATAGTGACTTCGATGCTACGGCCTAGTCTCTCTTTTTCTACGTCACATTCACTGAGTGCCTCTTTGTCAATTGAGTTGGACTCCAAGTACTGACAAATATTTCTCTCAATTTCACTTTTGTGCAAATTTTGTTGCATGCTTTCTAATTTCAAAATTAGTGCCATCAACTTCACATATTGTTCTCACAAAATAAAAATAAAAAACTTACATATCACAAATATTTATATGTTTTAAATTTTTATTTGATTTTATATTACTAATTTGTAAGAGAATTTACTTATACTTAATTAAAATTTATAACACATTCCCCATCAAAAATCAAAACATTATTCTTTTATCATAATTGAATATACTTTACATGATTGATATTTATTTAGTATTTTTTTTGTTTATTTATAAATTTATATCCTTCATATTGTTTATTACTAGGAACTCATAAGTGTTTGATCTAAATGACACTTAACTTTGAGGTTGCTTGTTTTGTAGGTTAATTAAGTGGGGTTTTCAGGACATGTGATCATGGAATTTGACTGGTTGTGAATTTACTATAAAGTCCATTGACCTTGGCTTCAGAAGTGAAAATTACGTTAGTATGTGGAGAAGGGTATAAATGTGTTTTTGGTCCCATAATCATGATTAGATTAGACCTAAGTGCGGTTTACCCTTAAGGCTTTAGAGGTCCTACATGATTGCCCCTATTTGAGTTAAAGTAACCTTACTTTTTGGGTAACAGCGTTATTCAACATTTTTAACATGTAAAGTTTAGAGGGAGACCAAATTATTCTTTAAAATTATTATTTATATAATGTTTATTCGGTGCCTCAGTATAATCAGCTTTCAAATTATTTGAAATAAATTACTTTAACCAAATTTTATTTGATTAATTTTTTTTATCTTATTTGTTACTAAATTGAATTTTTCTCTCATCAAGTTAACTAAATTTGAGGTGTTAAACATTATTTCGAATTGAACTAAATCATTATCTTAATGGTTTATAAGAGACTAACTTGATAAATGTACGATAAGATTTAAATTTTGGGGTTATTTTCTGTAGATTCCCTCGTCCTAGTTTTTTTTTTTTTTAAGAAAAAAAGAAAATATGGTCTTTCATATTTTTTATTAAATTTATTTAAATAGCTTAGATAAATAATTTATTGAGTAAAAATAGAATATAAATTATATATGTTTTTCTCAATCTACTTAATTACAAAACAAATCTAACGATTGTTGATTTAACAAGTTTTTGAATATAGACGTTCACTAAATCTATAATGTGTGAAATATAAAGTATCTAACTATATATGAATGAATTGTCTCATATGTGCATAATAAATTCACAAAAACTATGAAAAGTGACTAAAAAATTTACTAAAAACGATTGAAAGAGATATTTGTTTGGAAAAGAAGGGGTGGATGATTACTGGAAATGACAAGTTGAGATCTAAGAAAATAATGACGGAGGAAATGGGAATATAGGGTGGGTAGGGAGCATAAGTTGGTGCTCCCTAAAATGTAAAATTGGCATCTTATTAAGAAAAAGACAGAGAAAGGGAAAAGGAAAAATGTTCGTGTTGAGATGGTGTCTCCATTGAAAACAACAGTGAAGTAAACAAGCGCCGACCATATCTTTCGGTCCCGACAAAATTTCAACACTAACAATTAGTTTTACTTGTTACTTTTTTAAAACGAATGTATATTGCTTCCTAATTTTATGCAGGAAGACTCGCGCATGTGATCCCGACTCTGACACTTCCTCTTGTAAATTTACAGAACTAATTACCTTTTTTTTACCTTAAAGCATTGTTTGATAAAGTTTAGTAGACATCAGAAACCTGAAAAGATTGATGTTTGAAATACTAAAGTGACAAAATTGAAATACTAAGCCAAGAAGTATTTTATAATCCCTTCTTGTGGGTACAACTTATGCATCAATTGTTGATATTGAGAGGCCATATAATTAGAAAATGTTATTACAGAGCTATAATCTAAAGGACGTGGTGTAATTAATTATTTGTCGTATAAAGAAATCCAGTTCATAGTACTTTAAATCCAACTTGCACGACTTTGTAACGTGAACCAGATCGGTGACTCATTTGCCATTCTGATTCCATCTAAAATGGATCTAGGCTATAACTGCTAATGCTATTCTGGCAAATCTAGTTATTATAATGATAATTATGATTTTAAGGTTTTTAGTTAAAGAGTATAAATTAATTTTATTGAAAGAAAGTTAATTTAAAATAAAATTAATCCCCACACTATAAACGTATCCAATATAATTTCCTATAAAAGATTGCGGAATTGAGAGGTATTACTTACCTACCATAGGATGGTCATTTATTTTACACGCTAATCACAAAATATGGTAAAATAGATAACTAATTATGGGTAAAAGTATTTTAAATGGGGTAATATCGTTTAACATAAAATAGCAATGATTCATAAGATGGAAAATTATACTCTTTTACAATGGAGCCCTGTGTTCTGGGTTGATCTCGCAGTAAAAAAACAGTCATGGGGCGAATGGCTTTAGAAATAGATTCATTTTGCAGACGGACAAATTTAAACTAAAATCAACCGAGTAGACATTAACATGCAGAACAAAAACCAGATCAATCCAGTTTATATACATAATATATTGCCAATTAATCTTAATATTATATATTAAATTTTTGAATTAAAGTATAAAATTAGATTAAGATGTATTTTGAAATATGTTTTAAAACAAATATTATTAATATATATTTAATGTCATACAAAATAGTATCATCAATTCAGGGAATCTTATTATTAACACAACTATTAAAATTTATGTTTAAATGAAAGGTTCAGACCAAGTTAAAATGACTCAAACGATTTAAATATCTTCAAAATATATGAAGGGTCTAACTAATGAATGAACTTTTTCATAAATACTTTAACAAAAAAAAGATAAACGTAAATTTGATCACATGCATAGACCGATTTTTGGAAGTTCTTTCATATTTCTAAAATTATAAATTTAAACTTGAAGTTAATTTTAACTTACCAAAAATTCATTTTATTTTTCTTATTATTTTCTAAAAATGTTTATAGAAAAAATTGCCATTCATAACCTGATAAAACCTGAACACGTCAGATTCTGCCATAAGCTTGTGAAACTGTGGGGGAACTATTCTCTTCCCCATCTTCATATAATCCACAAACCTTTCGCAAATAATTTTATCTGTATATCTAGCTAGTGTTACGTAGGTCATTTTGTTGTGTGTGTGTGTTGGGGGGGGGGGGGGGGCAATACAGTATGCACAGCTTTTACAATGTAACTGAAACAAAATGAGACAAGAGTTATTGTGGTACACTGCAGATTAAGCTAAAAATGCCTCGGAAAAAAATTAATATCAGGAGCGTAACTTTCAAAATCACCTTGCAGCAGAAGCAAATCTGTTTAACCTAGCACCCCTCCAACTTTTGTATCACTGAAATAAGCTGTGATCGCCTTCAATTTATTATTTAAATAAACTTTCTCCACCTAAAACCACCATAGAGTAAAGGGTTAATTTTCAAGGGATACATATTTAATAAGCAACCAAAGAATACAATGATGATACAAAACCCCTATTCGTCATATTATGCTTCACATAAGAATAATGAAGATAATGCAGCATTGAGAATCAATTATAGTGTGACTTGTTTCTTTTCCTCATTATCATATATACATATGTCCTTGTTAACATACAAAGAAACCACCTTTAACAAGTAGCATTGGGAAATTGGACATCCTAAAAACATTAGTTAACGGAAGACAGCCAAAGAGTTACCACATTATACAACTATATAATGATTCATGACAACCCATCCCCTATTCTTGTTTATTATGATACCACTTAAGCATGTAAGGAATACAATATACCTAGGCATCTAAAACATAACTTCACCTCAATAGTTTACCAAACAGATAAAAACCATCAAACTATCAACAATAAAATACTCTCAAACCAAGTAAAACATATTATCTCACCCTCTACTCCTTGCTCCTTGATTCATTTTTTCTTAAGAGGTAGGGTTTCTTTATAGATTACACTTCAAAATAAAGCATATCAAACAGCTAAAAAGTTGAAATTGTTAGAAATAAGTCAAACAAACTAAAATACTGTTTTACGTTACAGTTTCTGTTATTTCTGTTTCTGTACTGTGTATAAATACGTTCTTTCATATTTTACGTAAAGTACGTCGTTTTCCAGTTATTCTTCTGCATGCATGCATAGTTTCTATATGGTATCAAGAGCCAGAACGGTTTAGTGAAGGGATTTCCAGTCTTTGCTGTGTGTGGCGTGTCAGGGTGCTCTTTGTGAAGCACGTACGTGTGAAGTTCAAAATCATGGCTGGACTGAGTGGATTCATTCCTGGAGGGTTACCCATGTTTGATGGAAGCTGTTTTGATGACTGGAAGATCAAAATGCATGCGGTCTTTGGGTTCCAAGATATGGCTGAAGTGATCGAAGATGGCGTCATTGATCCCGGCAGCAAGGCATCAGACGAAGAAAAGAGGAATTACAAACAGATGCAGAAGATGGATAGCAAAGCCAGGTATTTGCTATATCAATGTGTGAGTTCTGAGATCTTTAACAAAATTTCAATGGCTGAAACGGCTAAAGAAATATGGGAGATTCTCGTCAAGACTTATGGAGATAGTGACAAGCACAAGCGAGTGAAGTTGCAGGCCCTACGTAGAAGCTTTGAGTTCTTGATAATGGAGGACAACGAATCTGTGGCGAGTTACTTCAACAAAGTTCAGAGTGTGGTTAACGCCATGAAAAACTATAACGAGACATTGTCTCAAGAACACGTGGTAAACAAGATTCTTCGTTCTTTGCATCCAAAGTTCGATCATCTTGTTATCACAATTGAAGAAACAAAGGACATCGACAAGCTGAGTATTCAAGAATTACAGCACTCGTTGGAGGCTCACGAACTGCGCATGAGTGATCGCAAATCGTATCAGGAGTTGGTTCTTCAAGCAAGAACATCATCGAAGCCAAAGAAAGATACCAAGAAGGGTTACAAATCCAATAAGAAGACTGATCCAGAGTCGAGAGAAGGTGAATCAAAACAAGGTGGGAATGTGAGTAAAGAGAAGGTGTTTAACAAAAAGCGAGTGAAATGCTATAACTGCCAGAAGTATGGTCACTTCGCACGCGACTGCTGGCATGGTGATGGAGCGAAAAACAAACCCAAGTCTCAGTCTCAGGCAAATCTCGCACAAGAAGAGTCGTCTGATTTTGAATCTGTTTTACTCATGGTTAAGACCAAGAACGAAGATAATGATGATGATGCATGGTATCTTGATTCCGGGTGTTCTACCCATATGACTGGCCGGAGGGAGTGGTTTGTGAAATTGAGTAATGAGACTCAAGAACGGGTGCGATTTGCAGACGACAGCTGTTTGCATGCAGAAGGAAATGGACGAGTCGTGTTAAGAAGCCTCGAAGGAGAAGAAGTTATAGTCGACGACGTCCTGTATGTCCCTGGGTTACGAACCAACTTACTAAGTCTTGGCCAGTTAATGCAGAAAGGGTTCAAGATGGTTCTGGAGGAGAATTCCCTACGGGTCTATGATCAAACAAAGAAGCTTGTCATTTGTGCTGCACTATCATCCAATCGTACGTTCAAAGTAAAAATAACAACGTTAAACCATAAGTGTTTTGCAGCTGCAGTGAACAGAGAAGAGTGGCTGTGGCACTTACGCTTTGGTCACTTGAACTTCAAAAATTTGAGTGAACTGAGCGTTAAAGGAATGGTTGAAGGGATGCCTCGCGTGTCTGTGCCAGAAGAAGCGTGTCATGACTGTGTGCAATGCAAGCAAACGAAAAGTAAGTTCAGCAAATTCGTTGCCACCAAAACAACGAAGGAGTTAGAATTGGTATATTCTGATCTTTGCGGACCATTGCCTGTTGAAACACCTGGGGGTAGTCGATACTTTGTGACCTTCACGGACGATTACACCAGGAAGTTATGGACGTTCTGCCTAAAGCGAAAAAACGAGGTCTCTGACACATTCAGGAGGTTCAAGAATCTCGCTGAAAAACAGAGTGGGTGCATGATACAGCGACTACGGTCTGATGGAGGGGGTGAGTACAACTCACTGGAGTTTCAAAACTTCCTGACTGAAATGGGAATCACACACGAGGTTACACCGCCTCACACACCGCAACATAATGGAACCGCTGAGAGGAGAAATAGAACTCTTCTCAACATGGCTCGATGTATGCTCAAAAGTAAAAACGTGCCTATGTATATGTGGGGAGAAGCAATTGCAACGAGCAACTTACATTCTAAATCGCACACCTACGAAGAGGTTGGAGGGAGTTACACCGGAAGAAGCATGGTCAAAACGAAGCCGGATGTCAAGCATCTGCGAGTTTTGGTTCCCTGTGTTTTCATAAAGTGCCTGAAGTGCAGCGAACCAAATTAGACGACAAAGGAAAGCCTATGGTGATGATTGGTTATCACACTACTTGGAGGGTATAAGTCGTTTAACCCCAAAACCAAGAGTGTAACTATCGGCAGGAATGTAGTCTTTGATGAAGCTTCGGTTGGGAATGGGAGACAAATAAAGCGGCGAGAGGTGGTCCCAATTATTGCGCTAGAACCCGATGATGTAGCGGATTCTGGTGAGATTGAACCCGAAGAAGATGTTCGACGGCTTCGAAGATCCCAACGTCAAGGACAACAACCAACTCGTTTCAGAGATTATGAAATGTTTGGTGTTGTTACTGAAGAAGGAAACCCAGTGCATTTTGCATTGGCAGCAGAGGCGGAGCCCGTGGAGTTTGAGGATGCTATGCGTGATGAGAAATGGAGAGAAGCGATGTGTGAGGAGATAAAGTCCATTGAACGTAATGGAACGTGGAGATTGGTTAATCTTCCACCGCATAAAAGGCCCATAGCACTGAAGTGGGTATTCAAGGTGAAAGTAAATCCCAAGGGAGAGGTGATAAGGCATAAAGCCAGGTTAGTGGCTAAAGGATATTTGCAAAAGGCTGGGACTGATTTTGGAGAAATATATGCACCCGTTGCTAGACTTGATTCAATCCGAGTAATTATCGCCATTGCAACAATAAACAAGTGGAGAATGCATCAGCTAGATGTAAAAGCAGCTTTTCTAAATGGAGTGCTTGAAGAAGAAGTATACGTAACTCAACCGCCAGGATTTGAGGTTAAGGATGATAAACTGAAAGTTTACAAGTTAATCAAAGCTCTTTATGGCTTGAAGCAAGCCCCACGTGCTTGGAACAAAATAATTGATCAGTTTATGCATCATATTGGTTTTGAAAGATGCACCACGGAGCAAGGCTTATATGTGAAGTACTGGATCAGCAATGGTCAAGAAGAAAAATTACTTGTATGCCTCTACGTAGATGACATGCTTGTTACAGGAAGTAAAGCGGAATATATCAATCAGTTCAAACATCAGATGACCACTGAATTTGAAATGAGCGACTTGGGGGAACTCAATTATTTTTTAGGAATTGAATTCATACAGACAGAGCATGGAATGTTAATGCACCAGGCAAAATATGCGAAAGACTTGTTGAGCAGGTTCAAACTTCAAGACTGCAACACAGCAACTACACCGATGGAAACAGGGTTGAAGTTGGGAAAGAATGAAGATGAGGAACCTGTGGATGAATCAGAATTCAGGAAAATGGTTGGGTGCTTGAGGTATTTGTGTTGTACAAGACCTGACCTGAGTTTTGCAGTGGGAATAGTGAGTAGATTCATGCAGGAACCTAAACAAACCCACTTGAATGCTGTGAAACGTATCATGCGGTATGTGCAAGGGACAAAGAACCTTGGCTTGCTGTTTACAGACAAAGGGTGCGAAGGAAGTGTTGAATTGAAGGGGTACGCAGATGCTGATTGGTGTGGAGATCAGATTGATAGGAAGTCCACTGCGGGTTACATATTTTTTCTTTGCGGGTCACCTGTCTCATGGCATTCCGTGAAAGAACCGGTTGTAGCTCTTTCTTCCTGTGAAGCAGAGTACATTTCTGCTTCTCAAGCTGCGTGCCAAGCTGCTTGGTTAGCAATGCTCTTAAAAGAGTTAAAAGTGAAGATGAATTGCTGTCCAAAATTAATGGTGGACAATAAATCTGCTATAGACTTAGCAAAACATCCTACTGCTCATGGTAGAAGCAAACACATTGAAACCAGGTTCCATTTTTTGAGGGAGCAAGTCAATCAAGAGAAGCTTGAAATTGTTTACTGTAAATCTGAGGTTCAGTTGGCAGATATCTTCACCAAAGCATTAAAAGGGGAGAGGTTTAGGTATCTGAGACAATCCATTAGAGTTGTAAAACCTGTTTGACTTAAGGGGGTGTGTTAGAAATAAGTCAAACAAACTAAAATACTGTTTTACGTTACAGTTTCTGTTATTTCTGTTTCTGTACTGTGTATAAATACGTTCTTTCATATTTTACGTAAAGTACGTCGTTTTCCAGTTATTCTTCTGCATGCATGCATAGTTTCTATAGAAATTACCTCTAGTGACCATGGTGGACAGGACGACAGAGATAATTCTGCCAATTGGTTGAAATTGATATTTCTTGGAAGGAACATAACAATTCTGGAAGCAATCTCCTTTGCAGCACTAAACAGTGTATGCCTGCTCAGGGGCAGCTTTGAGTTAGAATGGAGTATAAAAGTGTACGTATCTTTGCACCAAGAAAACAGATATATCTAACTGAAAGATAAAGTTTAAAAATTACAACAAAAAGAAAGCATGTACCCACCCATCATGTGGTCTAAGCATTGTCTTCATGTCATAAGTGGTAGCCTTGACATAATCAGGTCCCCCCCATGGTGGAGATAAGAAAACGGTATCAGCCTGCAAGACAATATTCTGTCAATTTTTCATAAACTATCCCAAAAGTACAAGTTGTTAGTGTTGAGTCCATGAATTTGGTTAATATCTAGAACATGCTGCTTGCAAATAACGTTTACAGGCCTACTCAAACCTTGTGCAGAAATTTATAATTTAATTTTCTAGAGTGGAAGATGTAAAGGATATAGGAGAGATCTTGGCTACCTGATCAAAGAGGTGGGTACATATAAATAACAGCAATCACATGCCAGCTCAAGAATAATAAGAAGCCTCCTATATACCAATAATGACATTGACATCCCCCAAAGCATGTAATATGAAAACTTCAGTACCTTTAACTTTGGTGCCAAGAGGAAGAAATCAGCAACTATAAAGTCAATTTTATCAACCACCCCATATATAGCAGCATTGTGCCTAGCATAGTCAATCTTCACTGGATCAATATCAATTCCAATTACATGCCCGCACCTGTAACATCAATTCATTATCAAGATAAGCATTTGACCAAAATTACGACATTATACCTATATAGTGGAGGTTTTAACAAAAACATTGTTTCATAGTTGAATAACACTAGCGATCTGTCCTGAATAATTATGTCTAGACATAAGCATTATTATGTCTTTATCCAGTTGTAATTAACAGTCAAAATGAAATGAATATTAGCAGCTTCTAGTTGGTACTTACTAAACTATATAAATTGGAATACTAAGCATAAAATAAACTAAAGGGAGAAGAATAATAAGAATATGTTAATCAGCTAATATTTGTTCAGTGAATGCCTATGGTGATTCAAACAACAATTATAATGCAATATAACATTAACAAATTTTGCTTGAGGTCTACTTAATGTTTTAAGAATTAACTATGGGATTCACTAGGTGGAAAGTCCAATCAGAACAAACCATTTAGTGAAAAGCAAATGTATTATTTTGTGTCAGAGATGAAGTGTGATATTGCATCCTTAAATCAACCCTATTGAACAAGAAGGCACTCGAAAGTAGGCCTACCAGACACATCACACATAATCCAAAGTAGCTTAGAACACAAGGAGGCAGTGTGCATAAATGAGATAATAACAACAAACTAAAGTACATATTTAATGTTTCTCCTGTTCAAATTATATTAATGCAATTCAAGTTGCTAAAAGAATGGATTAATTGTAATAAATGTAAATTAATTTTCCTTGGAAAAATACAGATCTTTTTTATGAGTTTGTTGAAACAATGCATCCAGTACACACACACTGTTCATCAGAGCAGCCAAAAACTAAAATTAATTTACAGTATATCAACAAGTGATTAATTAGTATCCATTACTCAGTACTCACTGTCGTGCAAATTGGATAGAATTCCCACCAACACCAGTGAAACAGTCAATTATCATGCCACTAGCACAACGTATTGCTTGATGCTGAGCAATAGCCTCTGGAGTGACAGAAAACCATCCTTCCTCGTCCATCTTTACACCATCATCAAATCTAGAGAACAGAGCATACCTCTGACACCAATATTTGGCAATTGTAGCAGAATATGCTTCAGGCATTTCTTTACAGTGCAGATCTGAAAAATGCTAAACATGGATTATTACAAGGGCAAGATCAATCAAATTTCAACAACACACAGCCCTTACAGAGCAAACTCTATACTTAGGCATTAATATGTTCCATCATGATGGGAAATCACTTTTTATCAATCAAAATCATACAAGCATCTATCCAGTATTCTAGGTATTTGACACAGCAAAACAAAGCTATCACATAAGCATCTATCAAATGTTAACATATTTTACTCCTACTAGAAAGTATCATCATAAAATTGGATCCAGTTAGCTATGAGATTTAATAGAATACCAACCACATTGCAAAGGTCAAATAAGGTAGCAGTTACCGAGAATAAAGTGTTGGCACAAACCTTCATCTTCATTACATAATTTCTTTTGCCTTTGTCTTCTCTTTACTTTCTTCCCATGTTTTAATGTGAAAATGTCAGATTTAGATTCCAATCCAGACATGTCAATTACCATGTTTTCCAAGGGTGAATGATTAATCTCTGGTGCTAATTGAATGCATCTTTCATTAGAACTGCAAAGCAAATCAGTTGTTAAAAAATCAGAAAGGCAAGTTAAGACATGCACACTCAGGTGAGACATAAATCAGTCAGTCACAAGCCTCCACATAGAAGCTTGAGATTGGTATTTTTATTCTTACCATCTCTAATATAATTAAAACAAATGTAAGCTTCTTTGAGTGGACCTGTGCTGCTTCATTTAAGCCTAGCCATTTTTATCAAACAACTTAAACTTTTGGTAGAGCTCACCCTTGACATTTCTTACTATTCCTAGTTGTTTTTAGCATTGAAAGGCTGTCAACTTTGATATTTAGATTATCTGTCTAGGAAAAAGTTAGTAGAGATATTTAGATGACAAATATTGTAAAGGTTTAGCATTTATATTATTATTCACAAGGTGCAAACAATTACCTAATATTGCAATGTATATAGAGCTTTAAACAGATAACTTATTTTTCAAAATGATTGTGAAAGTTTGTAGACATTTTTTCATTTATGTTTCAATTAAAACTAGAACAAACATTACCAAGTAATATGATCCGGCATATTTGATACTGAGCAGCACGGCATTCCACCACTGCAACTACTTCTCTCAAGACACTCGTCTGAATGATCAAGAGATTGGTCTTCACTATTTATAGTGATATCAGAGACCAAATTGCCAATAGCATCTCCAATCTCAGCCAAATACTCTTCATGTTGTTTTCCTTTCATGTTCTCTTCAATTGAGGTTTCCGCAGGTGGTTTAGTGAACTTTTGTCTTCCACACCCCTCTGATGACTTTAGAGTTTCACCATTGTCTGATTCAGTACACGCACCAATTGCCAGATGTTCCATCCCTGAGGGTGTGTCCCATGTAGAAGTGTGTGTTCTAAAATTGTAGAAGTACGTTCTCTTATAATAAGTATCCCAGAAGGCCATCCAATCACCAAGTTGGGCATAACTATTTGAAACATCATATCTTTCACATTCAATCCCTTCTGAGCTCACAGGAAGCAACTCTGATTCAATACCATGTGGAGGACAAGTGCCATCATCATCATTGTAAATAGTCTCACAATCTGTATTTTTTCCACCAGTTGGTAAAACTTTTAAACATTCACTGTCAATCAAGCATTCATCATATTCTGCCCCATAATAATTGAACTCAGCACCTGTCGAATGGCTTCCGGCAGAGACTGCAGAATCTGAAAAAGGTGCAGTTTTCATATCAACACAATCATTACTGATTAAAAAGATACCATCCTGGGCATCATTAGCTGCTACCTGATCTATATTATCATTATTTGTCTCCCTGGAAACACCACTAGCAAACCCAGTAGAGCAGGCTGAATTATCTACTTCACCAGAGGCACACTGGGTCATACCACCATCACAGTAAGAAGATTCACTTTGGCCCAGCATTGATATAAAAGATAAAGAACTACTAGTTTTATCATGAAAATTTGCAGGAGACACAATCTCCTCTCCACTCACTTCATATAGAGTTTCATCTGCAAGGTTGTGACAAGTATCAGGATGCTTCCAACGTTTACCCCTCTTTTTGCCTTTTACTGGTCCATTTTTCTAGAACAAGATAGACCAAAAATAAAATTAATAGCAATCTAGTACAAGATAATGTAATTATACAGAGTAGAACATAGATGATAGAGGAGTACGAGTGATGATGCTCTCATTCAAAACAGACTAGACAAAATTTTTCATAAGAATATTAAAATCATGTCCTTTATAGATTGCCACTGTATCAACAAAACTATTATTACAAAGACAAGTGCCAACTATATAGCTTTAAAAACTCCACCTATTATTTTTTATAGTTCACTCTGGATTTCACTATTTCTTTAATCAGAACTACGGCTATTGAACCAGCCAAATCTTATTTGCTACCACGTTAATAAGTTAGGTTCACACACTAACAACTAAATAAGCATTTGGTTTTATTATGGCATGACTAAACCCGTATTAAAATTAAATATATAAGAGAAAAAGTGAAGTTTATTGTGTCACAGTTCAAGCTTTTGTTAAGCCTAAAGGGTTTCGAATTGAGCTTGGTTAACTAAGCTCATCATCAAACCTGAAACTAGTGAGCTTAAATTTTAGAACAAGTCAAGCTTGAACCAAGAAAATCAGGCTTACTTTCTTGTTGGCCACTGAGCACTCTGGATTTTCACTACTGTTAAGTGAGAGGCACACTTTAAAAGAAAAAAAATATATATTTACAATCATCAATTTGAAAATTAATACAGTAAATTGTTTGTTGCAAAAAAAGTAGGGAGAGAGAATGGTGTGTCAGCCAAAGACATTTACCTTACAAGACAAGTGAATGTTCAACTTGAGACCTCTCAGACACAAGACCTTGTCTTGCTCCACTCAACAAATATTTTGGGGTTTAATAGTGTAAATTTTAACATAAGATGTGCATATATTTTATTACAAAGTGAGTATGGGATTTGCTGCAAAAATTAAATTATTTCAATAATCAATTATAATTGATTATTGTTAGAATTGATAATAATCAAAATAAGTTTTGCTTGGATAAGTTTCCTCACAGTGGTTTAAGATCAATAATTTTGTTTGGATGTAACAAAAAAAAATCTATTTTTTTAGATAAGAAAAAGAGTATGTATGAAGCTGAAAGAGAAAACAAATACTATTTTCGGTCCTTCCTCGGGTTTTTCCTTCTTCCTTGAAGACTAATGTCACTTGCGGTACTGAAAAAGGGAAAAAAGCTACTGACAAAATAATCACAAACTACAAATTTTCACATTCATAAAAGCTGCTTATTTTTTCAGAAGACAAAAAAAAAAAAAAAAACTTTTTACAGATTTTAGCCACTGTCTCAAATATACAGTTGAAATTGCAATAAACTTTTTGTCCCCAAAACAGCTAAAATCTTCCAAAAACTAATGTTTCCCAAACATGCTATCAGCTATTGATTGTCCAAATGATAGTCTACATAACAGTTCCACCTATACCAAAAGTATTTTCCTCACTTCAGAGAGAATCCGAAAACTACAAAAGCATTCAGTCAAAATAATTATCTGTATGCATACCTCCTTGTTCGTCTGGAAGGAAAGAGGAAGCCCCAGTTCATTCAGCTGTTTGTTAAGCTCCAAATCCTCGGGTATAAGGTCACAAGATTCTTCTGCAGAGAACAGAAGAAACACAGTTTTTCCTTAAGAATAACAATTAATAAATAAAAACCACCACGCAGAAAAATACCACACGGTTCAAACAAAGGGGAAAAGAACTTGCCAGGAACGGGCTCAGAACCGTGATTTTCACCAGTTTCAGCCAATTTCTAACACGCACAAAAACGACACGGCATCAAAATTCCAATACAAATAGACATTTCAGTAAAAAAAAAAAAAAAACAGAGAAAGGGAGAAAAATAAATGTTACCAATATTTCATCAGAGGAAGAAACCTTAAGACCATAGTCCCTAAGAAAAACAGAGCGAAAAGAGAGTAAGAAAGTAAGACTTACAGAAAAGAAAAAGAGAGAAGAGAAGAGTGTGTAAGTGAGAACTAACCAGAGAAAGACTTGGGTGACCTTGAAGAGAGAACCAAGGGATTCGATAGCGAGACCTTCGTAATCGGAATCGGCGATGACCATGTTACTGTCCTTAGAGGTACAAAAGAGTCAGAACCGTTGTAGTGTGTTCTTCAGTGAGTGACTTCCTTATTGAAAAGTAAATCACTTGTATTGTAATTTTATTTTGTCCCAAAAGAATAATGTAATTTTAATATATATTATTGAAAAGATTCACTTATTTTAATTAATTGTTAGAAATTTATTATCAACTTTTCTTATTTATTTTTTATAATGTAAGAATTAAAATGATTTAATATTATAATATATTAGATTATAAAATAAATGACAAACATAAAAAATATAATACATTTTATTATTAGAATACATAAATTTCTCCATTATATTGTTAACATAAATTTTAAAATTAATGCATTATCGTATTTAATTTTTTTTCTGTCTAAATCTCATCAGATTATTACAATATATTTATTATATAATTGTAATAATAAAGAGTAGTATTATAATATATCGTAGTCAGATTAATTAATTAAATAATTTTTTTATAAATTTTAGTTCACATAGTATTTGTGATTTATTCAACATTTTCAAAATATATTTTACAATTACCCGTCAAAATAGATGTAGTTTAAATTTGTGGAAATAACCATCTTTTAAAATTAACTTTTTAATTTAAATTTTTAATTATAAAAAAAATCCTTTATATATAGTAACGAAACATGTCTAAGAAGTGAATGGAACATAATTCCAAAATTTTGTTATTTATATATAAATTTTGAATCTTATTTTTAATAATTATTAAATATATTTATATATATTTATAATTTTGATTTCTCATTTCATTATTTATTATTTATTAATAATCTGTTATATTTTCTCAAAATTAATAATAAAAATTTATTATATATAAATATTTATAAATTTTATTAAAGTATTTTATATTTTTAATTTTAAAAATATTATTTTATATTTTTAATTTTAAAAATATTATTTTAAATTTTATTTCTTTTTTACTTTTAAAATACAATCACTTTTTTCTCTCTATTTTTACTATTTTAAAAATATAAATCATAATAGCTTTTTTTTCTAACACTTTTTTTTTCAATAAAAGAGTAGTTCTAATAGGAATCCTCCTTATAAATACTTATAGGTTAGTGAAAATATATACACTAAAGCGCCTACCTGTCGACATTTTTGTATAATTAATTTTTTTAAAACTTTATTTATTTTTTTGTCTTTATTAATTATGCATCATATTTTTTCTTTTAGGGTTTTGAGTTTAGGGAGATAGTGAGATTTCACATACTAGAGGATATCTGCTAGTGTGGTTGGGTTTAATATGGAATAATAGGCCTTAATAGTTTTAACTTTGTTAGAGAGACTTGACCATGAAGATAAGAGAAAGACTATATGTGTCAGAAATCAATTGGACAATTTTCTTAAGCCGGGAGAGAAAATCAGAGACTGTGTTTTAGTTTCCTTTGATGTGATTAATAAAGAAATCGTAGTTTGAAAATTAGTCCATTAGCCTGAGAATCTAATGACTAGAAGACATCTTATTTTTAAACTCTAAGATTTTCTGGAACGAGTTGTCCATTTGTACATCAAAATGATGTCCTCTGATATGGAAATCAAACTTCTTTATTCCATTCTTGACAGTCAAGACTTCCTTGAAGGTAATGTGGTAATGTTTCTCGACATCCTTTAATTGTCCACTTGCATGGTCATAGTTGTACATTTTCCTATTGTCTTCTTTAATGAGCACTGCTCCCTAATAGTCATCACTGACATCTGTCTACAATATCCTTTTTCCGTTGCCTGGAATCTTTAGAGTCTAGGCTACTTTCTTTAGTTCTTTAATTGCTTTAGTTTGCTCTAGTCCCCATGAAGGTGGATTCTTTCTTAGTAATAGCTTGGATAAAATACTTGTGTATATGATAACATTAGGGATGAATTCCCTAATATAGTTAATTATTCCAAACTGTTGGATCTGCTTGACGGTCAAATTTTTCATATGAGAAGTTAAGAAGTTCTTCATCAATGTGAGGTTGATAAGAGCCTTGACAGAAATGCATACCAAGAAGTCAATTTTCCTTTTGGGGGAATTTTTGAATTATTTTGTGACCCGAGTTGGGACCTCTGTGAACCCACATTTGGACTATATGGTATGACATTGTTTAATACTCTATTCCTATTGCATTGAAAACACAGACAACCTATAGAATTTTGATGGATCCTTACAAGGATAAGTTTCACACTCTACTCGAGTGGTTCACACTACTATCTTGGTGGGGACAAGAGCTCAAGAGGATCCTAGATTGTCAAAGATAAAGGGGAGTTACTGAAGACTCTCTCAAAGATCTTACATCAATCTTTATCATCCACCCTCCATACTTTTTAAATCTTGCAGGTCAATTATGGTCAAGAAATGAAGCTTACATCTGAGGTAACTTTGAGACCTATCCTCTTGATGAAAGTTACAGGACCCAATTGACTCAACACCTCTGTGAAGTCAATAACTACCATTACAAAATGGTGGACCCCAATATTGTCAGCTCATCCTAAAGGTCGCTCAATCCTTATCTTCTAAATAGGATCGTCCAAAAAGATGATGGATGTCAATAGATAAGGTTCTTCAAATCAACGACTGAGATATACATACCCGAAGAAGAATTCCAAAAGGTTAAAGACTTAGCTGATGATTAAAATGAATAATTGATAGAGAAAATGATGAAATACAAAGAAATGTATTCCTACTGGGACCCACTACATGGAAGCATGACAAGGTGCGAGACCCAATAGATGAATCATTCTCATCGCATCTTATCTTGTCTGCAATAATGAGTGTGGATTGTATCCTTATATTCGAATTCCACTTTGTATGATATTTCAGCTCCAAAGTTCATTTTAGTTTAGCGAAATTTCAATTTTGTGTATGAGCTTTACCTATAAAAAGGAAAGGCTTGTAATGTTGTAACTCATAACCAACAATAATAAATTAAATACAAGTTTTCTTTTTTTTAAATGTTATCTCTCTAAGTTTTATTTTCTCTGAAAGTCTGAAACATATAATTTTTATTATCACTCCTTATTTAGATACAAGTTTTTTTTTTAATTATAATACTTTTTATTCTATGACAATAAAAAAGTAATTATTAAAGATGATAAAACCGTCTCATTTTTTTCAAAACCACTTTATTCATCAAAAGCGAGCGCGAGACAGGCAAAATTATAATACTTTTTAAATTTATCTTTATTTTTACTTTTTTTTTATTTTTATTATTCGTTAAATATATAAATTGTAATAAATATTTTTTTAAACTATAACATATTTATTTTTATCTTTTAATGATAATAAAAGAGTTATTAGAGAAAGAATCTCATTTATATATAATTATAGATTATGGATATAAATTTACCGTAGTCAAATTAATTAATTAAATAATTATTTTTATAAAATTTATTTTATATAGTATTTGTAATTTAATTTAACTTTTCTTAAAATATATTTACAATTAGAAACAAATATATTAAAATGATTACATGTCCAATTTTTTATATACTTATTTTTTATTTTATTTCATTTTTTTCTTTCTCCACTCTTTAATATATCCATGTTTTTTTTAAACATTATACATATTTTTAATGACCCAAAAGATATAAAAGGGAGAATCATTTTGTATATAATATAGATATAATAGTATACTTATTAATAATTTTAATCTCCTAGATAACTTCTTTATAACTATATTATTAGAGTGTAAGCCAAATGTTAGTTAATTTTTTATATATCAAAACTGACTTTATTGTTTTTTATTATTACTATTTTCGGTTTTTTCTGTTACCTTACCGTCATTACCTTTTAATAGAAAAGGTAGTGTCATGTTTTGCCTAATTGTTAATAATACGAGTTTACGTTTCTCTCTTCCACTCATTCTTCCTATATGGTATCTAGAGCCAACGGTTCATAAGGAAAATAAATTTCTTTTCTTCTTTGGAGAACCAAGAAAAGTGTGTCTGTGAGAAACTTTCTTGGTTACGCGAGTGTGTAAAGTGGAGTGGTTGACTACGAAATGACTAGCATAGGGAGTGTAATGCAGGGAACAGGGACACTTCCGATATTTGATGGAAAATCTTTTGACGACTAGCGCATCAAAATGCTCGCGATCTTTGGGTTTCAGGATGTAGTAGACATGGTGTTTGAAGGTCTGCCTGAATTGGGATCCAAAGCCACCAAGGAAGAGAAGAAGAATCATAAGTCCCTGCAGAAGCTTGATAACAAGGCTCGATTTCTTCTATACCAATGCGTGAGTCCAAATATTTTTCATCGAATCTCAAAGGCTAAAACAACTACAGAGATTTGGGACATATTGATCAAAACCTATGGTGATGGAGACAGAAGCAAGAAAGTTAAATTGCAAACGTTGCGGAGGCAATTTGAATGTCTGGCCATGGACGAGAATGATACCGTAGCTGATTATTTTGATAGGGTTCAAGAACATGTAAACTCAATACAAGCATGTCGTGATACAATCACTGATCAGTATGTTTTTTATAAGATCTTGTGATCTTTATCACCGAAGTATGACCATATAGTGGTTGCAATAAAAGAGACATGAGACACTGCGAAAATGGAGTTGGAAGAATTATAGCATTTATTAGAGTCACATGAGCATAAACTCAATGAACGCAAACAATTTCAAGATTAAGTGTTGCAAGCCCAACAAATATGTGGAAGAGGAAAGTGGGGCAAGAAAGGTGACCAGAAGAAGAATTGGCACAGAAGAAATTAAGAAAAGAAGGGAAAGGAACCTGGTGATCATGAGAAACGAAAAGATCACAAAGAAGACAATGGGTCAGACTAAGAAAAAGAGTGGAAATTTGATAAGAGGAAAGTAAAGTGCTTTAATTATCAGAAGCTAGGCCATTTTGCTAAAGAATGCTGGAAAGGTGAAGGGGCTAAGAATAAACCCAGAAACCAAGCTCACTTAGCTCAGGACGAAACATCAGATTCAGAGTCTGTAATGTTGATGGCAAGATCTAGTGAGGAAGAAGCAGAAGGA